TTCCATAATTAGAAGACATATATTATGAAAGACCATCTTTACAACTTTATAATAATTGTCATTACTATTTTTATACTCAATTGAAAATTACTATCTAGATATTACAATTTATTTTGTATTCTTAAGTATAAATATTATATTATCCATACAATATAGACATTAATTTTCTTGTTAAATACTATTTGAAATGAATTTGTAAATTGTAATATTGATTTAAAAAACAATTTAGATTTTTTGTCTTTGCAAGTTTATGTATATCATCTATTAATTGATATTAACCAATAACAAATTGAATACTATTGTCCACTATTTTTTATGTAATTAGTTATTTTGCTTTTGAAGATTGAATTGGTATTTTCAGATAAGTAATTGTTTGTAATAATATTTTCAATTGAAAAATATTTATTATACTTAGATAATAAAATTTGTTTCATATTTTCAGAATTAAATTTATATTACCTATATAATATGGATATAATGTTCTATAATATTTAATGTTATGAAATAAATTATTTCAGATATGGGCTTGATGGAATTTCTATGTTATTGAAGTGTTAAAATCTTATATATTGTCAATAAACATTTGCTATTTCAATTTGCTTGGTATCTTCAAGAGTAAAATAGACATTACCTGTACTAGGGCTTCAAAATATTGTATATCAAACTGGTACTAAAGTGATATTGAATAGTACCAATCTATAGTAAATTTAATATATGGATTGTGATCCATTTATATAAATTTATAGTAAATTTAAATATCAAAATTCTAATCTGTACAAAATAAATACCACCTACTACTTTATACAGTATATTACAATGCTATATAATAACAATAATTATTTTTATACTTAGTTGAAAAGTACTTCATATTTAAATAATACAAATTTTTAATATCTTCAAGAGTATATCTTACATGATCTGCATGGTACAGACATTAGATTTCACAATTTTTAATTTGATAAAGTAGAGCACTATATTTATAATTCTTAAAATCTATTTATACTTATAATGTTTATTATATTTATATTATTTGAAAGAAACAATCCAGTATGGAATTTAGCAATAATACAAACATCATTTAACAATGATTTTGAAGACATTGAGAAGAATCATGATTTTTGAAATCTGTTTTATTTATTTAATTTAAAAAAAGCATCCCAATCAAGATATATAATATACTTAAAATCAATTAGTTTAATAAATAAAAAATCATAAAATTTCAATTTTGTAGATACTTGTTAATAATTTTAAAGACATTTTTTAGGATCATCTATAAACTGATGCAAAATTCAAATGAGATTGCCTTGTGACTCTTATTGTTAAATAATGCAAGATAGCTTAAATTTTACAAATATTTTAGAAATTTGTATATATTTCTAACTTATATATATATAGGGGAGTATTTTGAGACCAGTTACTAATGAAGTAAGAAATAATTTATTCTTATATTTTCTTTGATTTAATACATACAGTAGATCCTCAAAAATAACAACTGTACTTTATTTTGATATAAATTTAACTATATATATATGAGATTTTATCTAAAGATAATCTTTTAAATTTGATATTTTATTGACTAATTGTAAAAATTAATAATTATTTTTGTACAAGTTAACATTTCAGTTTAAAATACTTGTCTATTATTAAGTTATTATTTAATATTTGTCAACTATTTTTTTCTTTTAAATATATATTATAATTTATTTTTCTGCATAAATTAATAATCTTATTTGTTTTTTTTCTAATATATGAGTTCTTATAACCAATAATATTAATATTTAATTAAGTTTTTACACTTAATAGAATTACTAAATAATATAGAAATAATTAAAAAAAAAATCCCCCTTTAATTCTATTACCCAAAAGTTTCTCCATATCAATACTTATAAATTATACAAATGCAATCTCTATAATATACTGGATTAAATTTGTCAATTTATATATAAATCTATTTGATCTTATCTTAATCCAATTAGTTTATTACAAGTCTAACTTCTTTAACCAATTTGAAAATATCATTAAAGCCAATAAAAAGCTCAAAAAGTAGATTAAATTAAATTTAAATATCTTTTTATCTTTTGTACTAAACTAATAGCAGACCAACTTTTAACAAGATCAAAACTTTACAAAAGATATCCAATATTCTACTTGAATAACTATTGTTTCTAATGTGATGTAGAAGAAGAAATTCAAGAACATATTATATATTGCCTTTACAGTAAGAGATATCTTAATAGAAAAAAGTCAAAATTTATGGATCTTATTCAATCCAGCCAAACCAATAGCAGTCCCACAAACAACAATATATAATAACCTATCAGTATAAGCTCTCTAATTGAATTCCATATTTTTCAAATGGCATTGGGAAACTACCCCACCCCTTTGATAATATTGGTAAAAACAAAGAGAATATTTCTAACAAAGCATTGAAAATATTATAAAAAGTTTGGAAACAGAGATTTGAAATTGTAGTCACCTTCCCTTCCAGTGGAATAAAATGGAAAAAAACTAAAGCATCTATCCCATTATCTCAAATAAAAAACAATAACAATGTCTTTAATACTATTCTAAATATTCTAAAAGAAAATCACTTAAATACTAATATTTTTCACTAAATTAACTCTTTTGTCTAAATGAACATTAGCCATTCGGTATTAACAGTGTTAACCTACTCATAGTATACAGTTAACAATGTTAACTTAATTGCAATAGGCTATAATTAACTTATTTTTGTAAAGATTGTTAATGTAATGATTATAAATAACTGTTTAATAAAAATTATGCATTTAATGCTCATTTGCAAAAAAAAAAAAGAAATAATTAAAAAATTAGATATTGATTTAGTATTGTATTGTTAATCAAAAAATCTTTTTTTTAAAAATAGATAAATCTTATTACTTTATTATTTTATAAAAATATAAAATTTATACATAAAGAAAGTAATAATATTTTTATGTAACCAAATAGTTAACAAGTTTAATGCAAGCTTTTCTATAATAAACTATTTAAGCAGTAAAGAAAAATAAATATTAAAATCAATATATATTTAAAATAGTGCAGAGCAACCATAGATCAGTATTACAAGTTACAGGTTCAATTTTACTAAAGGCTAATGTGAATTCCTGAATAACAATATGGAAATCTGTATACTTTCAAATTAATCATATAATAATCAATACTTTTAATTATAGAAAAACTGGTCTATAAGAAAATTGTGATATAACTGAATGTTTGAAATTGACTAGGATTATCTCTAATATGATTATATTGTTTGAAAAATAATAAGAAGAGTAGATTTCAAACCAATAGAGTGTCTTTGAAAAATTCTTAATGGTTGTATTGAAGGATACTAATTAAGCATTTGGCTATATCAGGTTCACAAATTTTATTATTGAAAAGTCTTGATAGGAGATAAAAATTGTAAACTACTCTGAACTAAAATACTTTTAATAAAACTGTTTTGAAAAAAATTAAAACAGATTCGTGTATCTTTTCAAAAAAAAATGGTGTAGTGAATCATTCAGGTTTAGTTAGTAATTATATACAGTATAATATTAAATTAGATAATATATAGCTAGTTATATATATATAAGTTAACTATAAACATATATGTATAATATTTGTTAAGTATATGTAGCAAAATACCTTAAAAAAGTTTAATAGGAATCAACTTGTTTCATACTAAAGCATATATTTCAATAAAAAAATATGGCTCAAAACTTAACAAACATATCAACACATAAATATAAGAAATTACCAACAACGTATATAAGGAAGCAATGCCAATAAGAGCAATCAAAATAATTAAACAATATACAGAAATGGAAACAGAAAGACAAACTATAAAAAAGATCATTAAAAAATTTCTAAAAGAATTAGAGCAAAGAATAGAAATCCCGATGTATAAAATTCAAAGAATAGGAAAAAACTAAAAACATTTAAAACCAAAATAAAACCAAATAAAAAACACAGAAAAAAATATATAGATGAACAGATTATACATTATCAAGACTAACACAATAATGGAATATGCCAGCAAAAACTGAATTAACTGGAACATACTCTATTCAATTAAAATTAATTTTAATAAGGATTGGTAAAGCCTTGACAAGTTAACTAAGTATATACTAATATACAAGCAATAAGCCACATATTAGGATTATTCCTTAATGAGTTTATTAAATAGATAGAGTAAAAAAAAATTGTATAAAATGAATTTGTAGTTTTTCAAAATAAATTTAATAAACAAGATGTATGCTTTCCATTTAAAAAAAATGAAAGCTTTTGATGTAATTATTAAAATAATACTTATTTATCAAATAATATTACATATAAATAAATAATATAAATATTTTTATCTTTTTAAAAATTTTAAACTCAAAAATTTAATAATAAATTTGTAATAAAAATTCCCATTATTAATAAATATCACATGATTTACATGATCAAAATTTAGAATTATAATTAGAGTAATAAATCAATGCCTTTGATTTTGATTCACTTTCAAAAATAATTACCAATTTAAACAATAATAACTTATATAATCCTGTTTTTCACATTCAAGTAATATGTACTATCTCCACAAATTGTTTTGTGCTGTTAATAAAACAGCCAGACTACAATTGATATTGTTGCAATGAAATACATTTGATAATAATATATTTATGTCAGGTATAAAATTCAAATTTATTTAGATAGGAACGAGTTATAATAATAGTTAATCACAATGCTGTATACGGTGTCAATGTATCAACTTGTAAAATATAAAGGTATGGAATATACAGTATCACTTATTGATATGTTTCAATCTAAGATTATAAAGTAGCATTATGTTTAGAAACTGATTAAAATAAAAATACACACAGTAATTTAAAATGAATCTTACAAGATTTTCAAGAATTTCATCAGCAGATAAACGACAATTATAATAACGAAAATTGCTATTGTAAATGTATTTATTTATAAGTAATGTATTTATTGAGAAAGTTAATTGAAATAAATCAATACCTCATTTTTCCCGAAAAATCTACATTATTTGTAGAACATCCAATATGCAACTGATCCCTGTTGAATATAACGCATTGCGTCTGGACCTGTTCAATGCACTTGAATCCAACCCATTTTCCATTTAAATAGATATCCATGCGTTTAAGAGGTTCTGAAAGTGTATAGCCTATATGATACCATTTATTTAATTCAAGCTCATTAGATATTTCGTTAATTCCAAGATTCCATTCACTATTTGTCGAGAATCTAGGGTGAAGTTTTGTGGTGTTCGGACATAGCCAAAGACCAGGAGTCCGAGTTGTATTATTTACTCCTGTAATTTATTTTCGAGCATAAAAAATACTTCAAATTACATAATGTTTGACTACGGTTTTAAATGACTTTATTATATATACCTTTATGGAAGATACTCGACCAACTTGTATCAAGACTCTGAACGTTTAATCGCAGAGTCACTGATAATTCGTTAGTCACAGAGGGTAATTGCCCGTCTTCAATATGCATTTTATTAGCAGGGAAATCTAAAGGATTTGAAAATATCTCCTTATATTTCATATTTGAAAGTTCCGCTCAATAATTACAATTCCAACTTTCTAACGAAGACAGAATCAGTATTCTGAGGAGACGAATTACAGCATTCCGTTTTATATATAAACAGTACTGTATTAGTGTTTAAGATTTAATACGAAATTAAACAAAATTTGTAATATGTGCTACTATTTTTTGTTTATAATTCACCAACTCTCGATAAAAGAAACTGTGTACAAATAGTCTACTGTATATATGTTGATGATCAAAGCATTAATTGAAAGTAGTTACGATCATCGAAAATTTTCCGGGTCCCGGT